TCCCCTGGCCAGCCAATGAGGGCTGTCCCGAGGGCGTGTCTCAGGCGCTGTGGATATATAAGTGCAACTTGCAGCCGGCTCAATACACTTCTGACTCTGACAGACTCAGGAAAGAATCACCATGGTGCTCTCTGCGGACGACAAGAACAACATCAAGGGTGCCTGGGGCAAGATTGGCGGCCACGGTGCTGAATATGGCGCGGAGGCCCTAGAGAGGTGAGGCCGGGCCTCTGCTCCGGAAGGACCACGGGATCCAAAGCAGTTCTGGTGCTCAGCCGGCAGCCCCCAACTGCGCTTTCCTGTGACCTCCTCAACTCCTCCTCCCACCTTCTTCCCGCAGGATGTTCGTTACCTACCCCACCACCAAGACCTACTTCCCTCACTTTGATGTAAGCCACGGCTCTGCCCAGGTCAAGGCCCACGGCGCAAAGGTCGCAGACGCCCTGGCCAAGGCCGCTAGCCACCTCGATGACCTGCCCGGCACCCTGTCCTCTCTGAGCGACCTGCACGCCCACGAGCTGCGTGTGGACCCTGTCAACTTCAAGGTGTGTGCTCGGGTCTGAAGGCGGCATGGGCATGGGCGTGGGTGGGGTGGGATGGTGAAGCAGGATCTGGGACCTGCAGGGAGGGAGGGCGTGGGGACCCTCGTGCCCAGGGCAGGGAACACAGTGGCTCCACAAAGAGGATTCCAGGCGACTGACTAGGTGTCTACTGCCAAGGACTGACCCTCCCTGTCTCCGCAGCTCCTGAGCCACTGCCTGCTGGTGACCCTGGCCAACCACCACCCAGCCGACTTCACCCCCGCGGTGCACGCCTCTCTGGACAAATTCCTTGCCTCTGTGAGCACCGTCCTGACCTCCAAGTACCGTTAAACTGGAGCCTCAGGGCTGCCGCCTACCGGGCTTGCCTTCTGGCCAGGCCCTCCTCCCTCCCTGGCACCTGTACCTCTTGGTCTTTGAATAGGGGCTGACGCCTACCGGGCTTGCCATCTGGCGAGGCCCTCCTCCCTCCCTGGCACCTGTACCTCTTGGTCTTTGAATAAAGCTGCCTCTCTGGACAAATTCCTTGCCTCTGTGAGCACTGTCCTGACCTCCAAGTATCGTTAACTGGAGCCTCGGGGCTGCAGCCTGCTGGGCTTGCCATCTGGCGAGGGCCTCCTCCCTCCCTGGCACCTGTACCTCTTGGTCTTTGAATAAAGCCTAAGTAGGAAGAAGCCTTGTGTCTGCATCTGCAAAGGTGCCCCGACTGGTGTGGGGAAGCCTAGGAGGAACTGCAAAGGTGTCCCGACTGGTGTGGGGAAGGGTACAGGAAACAGTGGTTCTCAACCAGATTTCTTATGCCGCGACCCCTTAATACAGCTCATGTTGTGGTGACAAAAAATTATTTCGTTGCTATTTCAGAAGTGTAATTTTTGCTGCGGTTGTGAATTCTAACGTAATTATCTATGATCTGCAAAGGGGTCACAAGCCACAGTTGCACCTCTAGGGCCTAGAAGTCAGGTACCTGTGCTGAGCCAGAAGGCCAGACAAGAGCAGGGAGGAAAAGAGAAAGGGAAGTAGAGGGAAAAGATGGGCCAAGTAAAGTCCTCTGCCCATGGTTTCTGGGCAACCTCTTGCCCCGTAGTGCCTGGCTGGGTTCAATCCTACTCCTGGGTTTCCCACCAGATCCCACATGAATTTGCTGGAATACAACTTCCTAGCTATCTTTCATTCCACACAGACACATATACACAAGAAATTGGCCCAGCTTAGCACACAGCTTGGTACAAATAGGTCAGATAGAGCTGGAAGGCATAACCAAATGCTCTCCTAGATACACATCCACCTTGCAGAGCAGATCCTGGGTTTGATTACCAATCAACACACCCCCAGCCCTCATATAAAACCCTGGCATACCTCTGATTTCAAGGGCTGCATAGTGAGATTGTCGCAAAAGAAAAAGACAAAAACAAACCTGGGTAGGAATGAATCCAGGCATGAACCACAAAGCCAGGGGTTGTTAGGAATTCTGGGCAGAAACAGCAGTCTTTCTCTGGGCTAAAGAGACATCTTTGGAAAGGTGATAGTCCTAGAACCAGCTACAGCACACTGTAAGCATTAGTAGGTGACTGGATGCTAACTCAACTTCTCATTGTTGTGACAAAATACCAGACAAGAGTAACGGAGGGAAGGAGTTTTATTTTGGTTCACAGTATAAGGGTACAGTCCTTGTGGTGGGGAAGTCACGGTTGCAGGAACTTAAGGCAGCTGGTCGCACTGCATCTGCAGTCAGGAAGCAGAGATGATGACTGGTGCTCAGCTCTTTTCCTCCTTTTTATTCAGGCTAGGACCCCAGAGTATAGGATGGTGCAGCCTACATCTGGGTGGGTCTTTTCACTGAAACCTCTGGGAACACCTTCACAGACACACTCAGGGGTGTGTTTCATGGCAATTCTAAAACCCATTGAGTTGATCAGATTAACCAATGGAGTAAGTAAATAACATGTAGCTCACACTCAGAATGGGATACTCTTGACCCATAAAAGCAATAAGATTACACTATTCCACTGAGTTTTGCAGACAAGCCAACACACCAAAGGCCATACAGTGCACGAGTACGTGTTTGTGAAATACCAAATGAGCAATCTATAGGGACAGGAAATATGTTTCTGGTTGCCAGGGGCTTCAGAAAGGAGCTGGACAATATTGGCTAGTGGGCTGGAGTTTCTGTCTGCTGTCTGGATGAAAACATCCTACAACTTGCTACGAGTGATGACTGCACAACACTGTGGCTACACAAACATCACTGACTTATACACATACATCAGAAATGGCTATAATGGCAGTTTGTTATATGAAGATTTGCTGCATTTGCTATCATCACTGGAATACATCACAAGCATTCCATATATATCACTGCTCTGAAAGGAATTTGTGTTAGGAGTCAGATACCTAGCAGCTGTCCATTTAATTATCTGAGAACTACTTTCATTTTAGCAATAAGCAGACCCAAGGATGTGTATTAACGACTCAGGAGACAGAAGATACTGACAAAGATAAAACACATACTAAAATTCAGTGTATTCTAATAATATATGCCAAATAGGAAAAATCTGAGGTTTGGGAGCTCAGGGAAACTTAAGGCTCCCAGGCCCCAGCTAACTCTGGAAACCAGAGCTCATACATCCCAGGACCAGACTGCAGATTAAAGCCCAAATTCAGGTGGCTGACAGACTGACCCTGCTGTTGCCAGAGGAGCTCCCATTACATAAGCAACCCCTCCCAGAGCTCCCTGGGCCACTGTAAGACTACTGACTTTGGCCTGGCCCTACTCTGGCTACTTCTGACCCACTATGCAGACCTTGACAGTGACATTCCTGAGCTACAATACTTAGGTACTGGCTTCCAAGCATTGCTGAACTGGAGATGGGTCCTCTAAGGGAACATCCTACATCTCTCTCTCTCATGACTTCTGAGTACTAAGGGCCTACCCTCCCACTGCATGGGTTAAGGTCCAAGAGTCACAGATCCCCAAGATAATATGATGAAGGTATAGTCTTTTACCTGTTAAAATGACCATGAAACATTAAGAGATTCAAGAGGTCTCTAAACAGGCAGGCCTAGGGTTATTCGTCACAAATATTGAGGTTAGAACTGGCCAACCTGGGCAAATACCTATAGCTTTTATCCCCCAGAAAATAATAGTATCACAAGTCCTCTAACTACAGGAGTAATCTTGGTCAAACACTCTCAAGGGATGCTTCATGTTCATCCTCCTCATTTTTTTTCAGATCCATATGGGCTGGGCCTACTTCACTGATAGGCTACCCCTCCCTGCAGCAAGATGAGGTACAGGGCTGTGGGTGTTGGTAGATAACTTAGATGCCTCTAAGAAACAGTCTTCAAAATAGTACAGTGCCACCTATTGGCACAAGTGTGACCTACAAGAAACAAGACAAAAATAACTTCTAATATCAGGAAGGCTGTGGTAAAAGCCTACATGTTGCCAGACTCTAGATCTAGGATAGGAATTCGGTCCCCCCCAACCCCCCGCCACGCCTAGTGCTGATCATGTAGACAAGGGGATCAGGGGCTAGCAAATCCTGTTTTCATCTAATTTCAGAGAGAAGGTAATGCCTTCTTCCTGCCTAAGAATCAATCATGGTCATTGCAGAAACCTGATTTTAACCTGCTGCCCCAACTGCTATGTCCCAGACACAGGAATGTATCCTGCACATCCATAGTCCTTCAGTTTCTTATTCAAATTTGTCCTGGATGTGCAAGTAGAAGAGCCTTGAGTCATCTCCTAGAGCACGTGTACAACACACATTATATGACATGGGGGGAAACACAGCATGGATTTGGGAAGCGTTAGAATCACCAGCCAGAGTTAGGACTGCCCTGCCCAATGTACTGGTATCACTTATGCACCAAGGGCCTGGAAAGAACAGGGTCTAGGAAGGGCATATCTGCTCTTCCTGAGCTGGATGTCCACCTCCTCCTGTGCCCTGGCTTGTGGGTGGTACTGGTTATTGTGCCTCACAAAGGCCCAGGATGAAAACTACCTGCTCTCCCAGTTCTCAGGCCTGGAATCTAATCAGCACCTGTCTTGGGCCCTCAGGTTGTAGAAGTTAAGATCCCATAACTTCTTGCATAATAGCCTGAGCCACTCCCCACAGACACACACAACAAATCTCTGGTTATCTGTTCTTCTAGTTCCCCTTCTCCATGAAAACTCCAATAAAGAAAACAGAGGTAGACAGATCTGAGGCCAACTGCTTCTATAGAGTGAGTGGGTTCCAGGACATTCAGGGTTACACACAGAAACCCTGTCTAGAAAAACCAAAAAGACAATAAAAGCATCCACATGTGCTGGCACAGTCATTAGTGCCAGCTACTTCGGGACAGAGATAGTAATATCTTGAGCCCTGAAGTTCAATAGTCTGTATAACAAGACAAGACTGTCCCTCAAAACCAAAACAAAAACTTGCTACACTGTCCTTGGTCCCTCCACAAAAGACTGAGCCAAGTGGCCTTTCTGCAACTCTAGGGACCCCGACTACTGTAGCCCAGTAGCTGCAGTATGCCACATGAGTTCAAGAATTAGCCTCCGGGGGTACTTTACACCCTGATAAAACAGCTGTTTCTCCACATAAAAATTTATATATAGACAGAAAAGGATCCAAACCAGACATGCTGATGCTGGCTGAGGAGGACTGTCCAGTTAAGCCCCCAAGGAGTCCAGGAAGCAAAATGTTCCTAGTATGAATACACAGCTAGTCAAAATGTTCTCCTGGGACCAAGTACAGGCTTTACTCCAGGAAGACAGCAGAGCAGATCTAAATTGAGTCCCAACTGGAGGCCAAGGGGCTAGAGAGGAAGCCTACACATGGCACCCAAGCACAAGCACTGAATCCCAGTGGGTCCTTCAGGGACATTCCACCCTACCTCCTTTCATATGGAGACAGCTGGCCAGGGAAAGCCTGTTTCACACACCAGCACAGTGGGTACCCACACACATCCTCTGTAAAAGGGAGCCTAGGGCAGCACCAGGAGACACACTACAAGACCTCAAGATCCTATGTGTTACCATCCAACTAACAGCTCAAGACAGCACCTAAACTTTTATAAGCATGGCATGGAGAGGGGGGCTTTTATATTACACAATCAACTAAAGTTCCCTCTGAAACAACTCTAAACCCCTCAGGCAAGTGAAGGGAAAAAGCTCCTATTCTATCATCCTTTCTATTTGGGCTTCATCTTGGTCTTAAGGCATTAGTCCTCTGTGAGTATCAACATATGCTAAGGGGGTAACAATAAGCCTGCTACCCAATAAACCACCCAAGATACCTGACCTAAGCTGTAAGCTTCTCCCAAGGACCTCCTGATTGGGAGATAGGGGCCATCTATGTCTTTATTCCACCTAAGTAACAAAGTGGAACTGCAATGCAGCTGACCTGAGCTAAGATTTCAATAGCATAGCTCTAAGAAAATGTGTGTAATATGGCTGCCCCCCTCCCATCCACAGAGCCTATTCTATGGTCTGCACTGAAAAGCAGAGTATGAGCTAGGCAGGGAAATCACACATCTGGCTCAGTTAAGTGTGTTGGGAGTGTCCTGGCACACAGGATGCCAAAAGTTAAAGGGGTCAGACATTTGGTCAGTTTCCTAAGGTAATGGCAGCACCAGCCTTTATTTCCCCAGGTGCAGGGTCCTAGTGAAGTGCCTCTAGAGTAGAGGACAGCAGACACCCCAACACAGCTGTCAGGAGGCAGCCGCCAAATTTATTTGTTCCTATACAACATAACCCCAAACACAGGAGCAGCTCTGAACAACTCTAGAAACTCACAGCTAGGGCCAAACAATAGAAATTTTAACTACAAAAGATGAGTTGTATCCAGCAAATATAAAGGGTAATTTAGGCTGTGCTGAACATTTGTCAGACTATTTACAGTGTTAGAGCCAGGTTCAGATCTCGCCAGCCTCCTTCTCCTCCGACCTTCTCGATGCAGTCTTGCCATTGGAGCTCTCCAGCCTCCAGTCAGTGGGCCCTCGCTCACTCCGCCCGTACTCCCAGGATTCCTCTCTCAATGAGCGCTCCCTGGAGAACCTGGGAAAGTGGAACCAGAGGCTCAGCAGAGGCTGCCATCTCCTTCTGGCTGCTGCACAGGAACCAGTAAGGTAGACCCTCAACCCTGGACTGGGGAAGGCCATGACCCCCACCACCACACACACACACACACACACTCAAGTGCCTTTTTTGGGAAGTGAGGTGGGGTCAAGACAGGGCTTCTTTGTGTAGTCTTGGCTGTCCTGGAACTCACTCTGTAGACAGGCTTTAAGGTCAAGAGATCTGACTGCCTCTGCTTTCCAACTACTGGATTAAAGGTGTACACTACCACTGTTGCCTGGCCTCAGGTGTCTCTTAACATATCAAAAGACAGCCAGACCTGACTGATCCTGGTGCCTAACTGATGACATAGCTATCATTAAAAAGGGGGAAGGGGGCGATCCTTTGAGCTGGGGATGGTAGCTTATACCTGTAATCCTTACACTTAGAAGGGTAAGACAGGAGTGGTTGAGTCTGAGGCCAGCATAGACTAGAGAGAGAGATTTGGTCTCAAAAGTAAACGATAAAAAGTAACATCTGAAAGGTTTAAGGGGCTAGTGAGATAGGTCTTGTGGAGGACCTAGCTCATTTCCCAGCACCCATGTCAGGTGTGCTGGGAACCCAACTCCAGCTCCAGAGGATCCAAGACACTTGTCCTCCAACAGTACACACACACACAGACACACACTTACAGTAACATTTGTGACATAATACACTAACACATAATAAAAATAAATCTTTAAAAATAAATAAAAAGAAAAGATTTTTAATAAGGAAAGTTTTCAATGTAACAGAAACAAAGCAAATGGGAATACAACAAAGTTATGCATGTGGAATATGACCCAGTAGGTAAAGACAATGGAAAAGAGCAGAATGGAAAACCACATAAGTCAAGCATGGTGGCATATACGTTGCATTTCAGCACTCGGGAGGCTGAAGCAGGAGGATCTTGAGTTCAAGCCAACCTAGGTTACAAAGTGAGGGCCTGTCTTAAAACAAAACCAAAGTTACAAGAGAGGTAAGTAAGCAGGACCTGTTCAAGACAAAAACCTTAGCTGCTCTTTACCAAGTTAAAGTACATAAAGCCCAGCCAAGTGCAGTGCTACCCAGAGGGCCATGTGAGAGCTCAACAGCCTTACACTATTCCAAGCACTGGGTGCCACTCTTTATTAACCAGGGCACCAACACAGGGTTCTAAACATCCAGAGCCTGCCTCCCCACAAGCCCAACCTTGTCCCTACTAGATGTAGTAGCCAAAAGGCCAGCATGACAGACCCCAGCAGACTTGAAAACACAAGAGAAAGGGCTTGCTCCTGGCTGCAGCTACTGAGGAAGTCTGAGTAGTTACTTGTATTTTGCACTCCGGTCCCTGGAAGCCCGGCGGTGACCCCGGCTATGGCTCCGGGAACGACTGCGATGTCGCCGGTGTCTATCTCGAGACCTGGAACGGGAAAACTTTCGCCGCTCTCGGGAGGTAGATCTAGATCGCCTCCGTCGCCGATCCCGGGATCGTGACCTGTAAACCCAGATGATTGACAGGAAGACATCACTGGGGTCAACATTTCAAAGGTCTAACCCCATTCCTCTCCTCTTAGCATCTTTTGGCCTTCAGCATTCCTGGGAGTTCTCTCTTTCCTCCCACTAATGTACATTTTGTGACTAAAGACTCCCCTGAATTAATCTGATGGCCAAACCTTTCCCCTGTGCTTTCCTGTGAAAGCATAGGACTAGGCCAAGCCTGGTGGCACACACCTTTAATCCACGCACTCAGGAGGCACAGGCAGGTAGACAGGTGCCTAAAATTTAGGCCAGCCTGGTCTACAAAGCCAGTTCCAGAACAGCTAGGGCTACACAGAGAAAAACCTGTCTCAAAAGACCAAAAGACGGGGCTGGATAGCTCAGCTGTTAAGAGCACTGATTGTTCTTCCAGAGGTCCTGAGTTCAATTCCAAGCAACCACGTGGTGGCTCACAACCACCTTAAATGAGATCTGATGCCCTCTGCTAGCATGCAGGCAGAAGACTATACAAAATAAGTAAAATCTTTTAAAAAAAAAAAAACAGGACTTGGACATTCCTAGTGGGTCTGCAGGTCTGAGCAGAAGCTCCAGAAGGTCTTCCCCTTCCTTTCCCTAATGGCAGCATGTGTCTGCATGTGAAGGACTTGAGGGGGGTTCTGTTGCACTAAACCCTAACCAATTCCTATGATCTTCACAAGCCATCTTTGCTTACCAAAGTTTGTGAGGCTATAAACATAATTATTAAATGTTTCTGCATAAAAAAAAGCATTCAACCTGAAAATCCTGTGATGGATCTGGAAACCTACCTCCTGCGATCTCGGGTTCTTGATCCAGACCTAAACAGAAAAATAAAAAACACCTTTAATCCCACCACTAGGAGGCAGAGACAGATGGATCCCTGTGAGTCTGAAGCCAGCCAAAGAAACATAGTGAGAGGCTATGAAAACAAAAAGTGTCCTTCGAGAGATCATGGTTACTTCTGGCTCTGATCTCTTCTTTGAACTCAAACTAGACTCAACACATCTACCCGAGCACTTCTCAGGCATCTCACTGATTATAGACAAATTCTAACCCCTACATCTGGTTCCATCCTACCTATCCTAGTTAAGGGACAATTCCAGATTAGAAACCAAGAGACCAGCTGGGCATGGTAGTGCACATCTTTAATCTCAGCACAGTGAGGTAGAGACAGGCAGATCCCTGAGTGAGTGACAGCCAGGGACATATAGGAAAAACAAGCAAAACAAAAAAACCCTTGTCCCCCAAAATGAAAAAAGAAACCACAAGGCCAGCTTCATTTCTCCTCCTCCTCACACAACCCCAAATCCAGTCAGTTCTACCCCAGACAGCTTAGCCCAGACCCATACCTGTGTCCAAACTTCCATTAGCACCTCATGTGGGGGCTTTTTGCTTACACTTACACTCTGCTTCTCAATGGGCAGGAGCATATTCAAACTACAGGTCTTACGGGAAAGTCTGTCCAGTGGCCCCATGTGACCCTATGTGGCCCCTTCAGTCCAAAGCTAATGATTCCCCTACAGCAACATACTGCCATGAGACTGCAGCTTAGCTACCAAAAGCAAACACTTTTGCCTTCCCTATTTGCTGAAGATTCCACGCCTTTAATCCCAGTACCAAGAACGCAGAGACAGATGGATCTAGAGCTAGTTCCAGAAAATCCAAGACAACACAAAGAAACCCTGCCTTGAAAAAAAAAGAACAAAAAAGGATAAACCTCTCCAGTTTATCTTTCCCTTGTTTAAATCAGTCAATGTCATACCTCACTAGATAGTATATGTTACAGATTTAATTATTCTTTTTAAAAGCCACCCCAGAGGTCTGGAGGCAGAGGCAGGTGCACCTTGAAAATTCTAGGCAAGCCTAGATTACATAGTGAGACCCTATGTGGCATCCCCAAAGGGAGTGGCACTATTAGGAAGTATGGCTTTGTTGGAGGAAGTATGTCACTATGGGGTATCCTATGCTCAAGATTCCTCCCAGTATCTCAGACTACTACTTAGTGCCTGCAGGTTAAGATCCAACAACCCTCAAATCCTTCTCCAGCACCATGTCTGCCTGCATGCTGCCTTATATCCCACCATGACAATATGGACTAAACCTATGAACCATAAGCAAGCCACCACAAATTTTCCTTTATAAGTTACCTTGGTCATGGTATCTCTTCACAGCAATAGACACACTAGCTAAGACACCCAGTCTCAAAACAAACAAATAAGTAAATGCCAGTTCAGTGCTTGGCAAACATGACTACTCCAGTCACAGCATAGCAAAAAACAGGTTACTGAGGCTGGTCCACACTTACCTCCTGCTCAGCCGCTCCTCTCGCTCTCTCTCCTCTCTTCTCCTCAAGCGATCCTGATTTCTCTTCTCCTGCTTTTCGGCCACAGTTTTCTAAATAAATGACAAATGGAAAAATGAAGGAAAAATAACTTTTGGAAAACAATATTCATTTTTAAAACAGAACAAATTAAAAAAATTTTACAATCATTTTATACATTTGGTAACAAAGTAAAAAGGGAATTGATCACAATGCTTCAAACCAAGTCATGTATTAATTGTTCATCCTATAGCCTCTCTACAAGCATTGTAGCGAAAAAAAGAAACAAGAGCCAGACTACATACACCCTGCTGCTTGCTGAGAGTTGAACTCTAGGTAGCCAGAAGCAACTCACTTTTGATATGGTAAGTGCTATGATAACATTAGCACAATTGCGCATTCAACTCCTAAGGCTCAATCCTCAATGCAACAGAAGGCAAAAGGCTCTCATCCACTTTACCATCAAATCAGGATCCACTTGAGCTAGCTGAAAAGTATTAAGTACCTTTGTAACCCACCACTAATACTAACAAAATCTGGGCAGAGTGATTGAATACAACATCTGGGCAGAGTGAATGAAATGAAGTCCTGAATGGGGGAATGAGTCACATCCCTTGATAAAAAACTCACCAGTCTTCCCTGCTTAGAGCAGGGATAGTATGGAAAATCTCCATGCCCAGCAAGTACCCTCTAGGAGAAAGAACACAGCCAAGGCCCAGGTAAGCTGTTACATTCAGCACCTCAAACTCTACAGGGTCATCCTTCATCTGAGGTAGGCACATAGAATAGTCAGCTCCAAAGTTCCTTTTCCTGTCTCCCTACAGCAGGTTTGGCTGAGAATAGACTCCTAGGTGGGGCATCACTTCCTTCCCCACTCCTATCATTCACATCACATGACCAACAAATCAAACTCATGCTCACAAAGATATAATGTAGTACATTAAAATGCTATTGAGAAGACAGACACAAATGTTTTTGTTGAGACAAAGACTCAACATATGGACCTTAACTGTCCAGGTAGCTGAAGTTGATTTTAAAATTCTGATCTTCCGGGCGCTGGAGAGATGGCTCAGAGGTTAAGAGCACTGACTGCTCTTCCAGAGGTCCTGAGTTCAATTCCCAGCTACCACATGGTGGCTCACAACCATCCGTTATGAGATCTGGTGCCCTCTTCTGGTGTGCAGATATACATGGAAGCAGAATGTTGTATACATAATAAATAAATATAATCTAAAAAAAAAAATTATCTTCGACTGGGTGGTGGTAGTGCATGTCTTTAATTCTAGCACTTAGGAGGCAGAGGCAGACCAGCTTGGTCTATAGAGCGAGTTCTAAAGTCAGGGCTACACAAAGAAACCCTGTCTCAAAACGGGGGGGGGGGGGGGGGGGGAGAGATATGTTTAAATCTAACTTAAAGAGTACAGTGGGGCTGGAGAAATGGCTCAGAGGTTAAGAGCACTGTCTGCTCAGGGGTCCTGAGTTAACTCCCAGCAACCACATGGTGGCTCACAACCTCCGTTATGAGAGCTGATACCCTCTTTTAGTCTGCAGGTAGAAAAATATACATTAAAAAATACAGATGATTGCCTGGTGGTGGTTGCTTGTGCCTTTAATCCTAGCCTTGGGAAGCAGAGACAGGAGTTCAAAGCCAGCCTGGTCTACAAAGTGAGTTCCAGGACGGCCAGAACTGTTACACAGAGTAACTGGGTTTAACTGGGTGTAACTTAAAAAACTGCAAGATAAAAAGAAAGGCTAAAGTTAACCACAAGACACAAGACTCCAAAGGCTTCTCCAGAAATAGTATATTAACATACCCTCAACTGATCAAGCTTCTCTCGGATCTGAATGAACCCCAAGTGTAACTTGCCCCCGAAGTGATCTGCAAGACGACGGTCATTGTCATGGAGACCAAGGTAAGCTGAACAAACCTCGCAGACTCGGAGCTTTTGCTGTTGAAAACTGGATGCAGGCATGGAATTTCTATATTCTTCCTATGGGGGGAGAGAGGGATAAAGATGAGGCATTTCAGAACTGTCACAATGTAGACCCCAGGAAAACCTGAAATATAATTAACATTTCACTACATGTTGAAAACTGGATTGTTCAGCTTCAATTTCATTGTTTATTTTAAAAGAACATTTAGAGGGAGGCGGTTTTCCAGGACAGCTAGAGCTACATACAGAAACCCTGTCTTGAGAGAAAACAAAACAAAACAAAAAACAAAGCATAAAAAACCTACATTTATGTGTGTCTTATCAAAAGCAACAAGGAACATTCGAAACATGGAGATAAGAATGACTGTTCTGAGACCAACAGGGAAGACAAGACTTCAAAAGTAAATAAAAACTGGGGCTGGAGAGAGATGGTTCAGCAGTTAGGAGCACTAGATGCTCTTTCAGAAGACCTGGGTTTGGTTCCCAGCATCCACAATGGAAATAACAATCATCTATGACTTCAGTTACAGGATCTCTTCTGGCTTCTGGGAGCACTAAACACACGCAGTGCATCCATATAGGCAAAGCACCCACATACATAAAATATATATATATTTTTGACACAGGGTTTCTCTGTGGCTTTGGAGGCTGTCCTAGAACTAGCTCTTGTAGACCTGGCTGTGCCTCTGCCTCCCAAGTGCTAGGATTAAAGGCCACCACTGTCTAGGCCATAAGATAATTTTCTTAACTTAAAAAAAAAAAAAAAAGTTGGAGCTGGAGAGATGGCTCAGAGGTTAAGAGCACACTGGCTGGTCTTCCAGACGTCCTGAGTTCAATTCCCAGCAACCACATGGTGGCTCACAGCCATCTGTAATGCGATATGGTGCCCTCTTCTGGTGTGCAGACATCCATGGAAGCAGAATGTTGTATACATAATAAATAAATAAAATCTTAAAAAAAAAAAAAAAGTTGGGCCACAGAGATGTCTCAGAGGTTAAGAGCACTGGCTGCTGTTTTAGAGGACCTGAGTTCAATTTCCAGCAACCACATGGTGGCTCATGTCCATCTACAATGATATCTGGTATCCTCTTCTGGTATGCAGGTATACACGGAGGTAAAATGTTGTATATATAATACATAAATTAATGTTAAAAAAAAAAAAAGAATGTATACTTTGCATTGGGTGGTGGCGGCACAGGCCTTTAATACTCAGGAGGCAGAGGCAGGCGGATCTCTATGAATAAATTTGAGGCCAGCCTGGTCCACAGAGTGAGTTCCAGGACAGCCTCCAAAGCTACACAGAAAAACTGTTTTGGAAAACCAAAAACCAAAAAACCAAACTGCACGAGCAGTATACATTCCCAGCATCATGTCAGGAGGCAGCTCACAACCTCCAATAATTCTAACAAGGGAGATCCATTGCCTTTAGTCCACCTCACCCAACTACACAGATGCACATAAATCCCCACACACATAATTTAAAATACTTATTTCTAAAAAGTAAACAAAAGCTAGCACAGTCACAGCAATTATATCCTGATATACAGGAAATATCTAATGCAGATCTAAAAGATACTTTGAAAGGCCAAATCATTGACACTTTACTTAAAGAAAAAAGTAGCCAATACATAATATGCATCCTTCAGGAACACTAAAATGTTTATTTAACCCGTGTCACCATATATTAAAAACAAGGTTACCAGCCAGGCAGTGGGGGTGCACATCTTTAATCCCAGCACTCCTGAGGCAGAGAGGGCAGGTGGATCTCTGTGAGTTAGAAGACAGCCTGGTCTAGGGGCTGGAGAGATGGCTCAGCCGTTAAAGGCAAAGTTCACAACCAAGAAGACAGCCTGGTCTAAAAGTGACTTCCAGAATAAAGAGCTATTAAACAGAGAAACCCTGCCTCGAAAAATGAAAAAACAAACTTAAAAAAAAAAAAAAAAAAAAGGTCACCACTACAAAACGATTTAATGTGAAAACCCACCAAGAATTGAGAAACAATAAATGTTCTGTGTAGATAAAATGGAAGCCTATAGCAATTAACTGAGTAAGACCTTGTCTTAGTTACTATTACTAATTAACTAGTGTTACTACTGCTATATGAAACACCAAGACAAAAAACAAGTTGGGAGGAAAGGGTTTATTGTAATTTGGTGTACATTTCCAGAAGCGTACTTTACAGATGTTAACTCATGTGATCCTCTAACCTGTCCTGAGGGACTACAGACATGTGCAGTATAGACTATAGATCTCTTAAGGGCCGGAGATATGGGTTAAGAGCACTGGCTGGCTGCTCTATAAGAGAACCCTGGTTGAACTCCCAGCACCCCAACCATCCAGTCCCAGGGGATCCAATGCCCTTTTCATACCTCTGCAAGCACATGGTATATAAACGGACATGTAAGCAAAACATCCATACATATTAAAAAGTTAATATTCTCATTGTTTAGGCCAGGCTGGTCTGGGATGCAAGATCCTTCTGCCTCAGGCTCTCAAGCCCTGAAATATCTGTTATGGGAAACCATGCCCAGCTTATCATTTTCTTAAAATCAGTTATAGAAATGGAAAGCCAATGAGAACACCACACCTAATCACCAGAAATCAGAAGGGGTTGTGGCTACAAAAGGATCTCTGTATTACTTATTACATATTTTCTTTTAATTGGAGGTTATTAGATTTGTGAGTATGATGTGTGTATGAGTACAATAAAACCAGCAACCTATAGTTACCTCTGAATCCCTGATCCATCGAGAAGCTGCTAGTACCTGCTCCTCTACCAGGGTTTAAGGCATACTGTACGTATATACCTGTAACCAAGAAGGATGCAGAGATCCCTCCTGTCAGGATTCAGGCATTATACTGGCTTGCCCCTGTTACCAGGCAGAATTCTGGTCAGCCCAGGGTTCTATGAGTACTAAGTCTGCACAAAGGTGTATGTAAAGGACCCCTTTAAAAGACAGACCCCCCACCCACTTACACTCTCTTGCCCTCTCCTCTTGCTCTTTTTGCTCTTGCTCTCCTCTCTCTCCCCTCGTCTCTCTCTTCTCCCCCTTTAATAAACTCTATGTGTTCCATTGAGATTATGTATCAGCTAACTTAAACAAAAGAACAACACCTCCTCTCTAGCCTAGGGAGTACTTGGTACAAGAAGGTATCTGAGTCATGACTCATCACCATCACTCATCACTGCCACATTCATGGTGTTTCTATACCCCTAGGGTACAGTCCAAGCACTAGTCCCATAGTTTTTTAGGGTAATTCTATCTAGGCATCTCAGCTATGTTATGAATCTCTTTTATCTCCCCCCCATTATTTTTTTTTTACTTCATTTTACATTCTAACCACAGTTCTCCCTCCCCATCCACTGTCTTTGTCTTTTAAGCTAAGCAATTAAATAAAGGTAGATGACACAATGATGTCACCACCAAGTAGAGGTAACGGAAGTGTCCACTGAAGGTATGAGGCATTAGATCAGAACAATCCTGTTCTGCCTATTTGACCTTTGCTGCCAACTTTAATTCCAGTCACTTTTGGAGAACCACAGAAAAGCACAATCCTGATGGCCCCAACCTTCCTCTCCTGTTGCTGGGTTCAGAGAGCATTTTTCTAGCACCCAACAAAACCCTGGCACTATGCAGGTTAGCTATAAATAAGAACCAAGTGCCAGGTGTGATACCAGAAGCACAATAACATCTAAAAGTCAAGCAGGCACCGGTCATGCATATACACACTATTTTCTCATTTATTCCCCACCCCTGCACTTCCTGCTTTTAATAATCTCACTTTGTCAAAGGTCTAAGATATGGCTTTCCAGGATGCCCCCAACCTACCTACAGACCATCCCAAAGTCACCTCTCTCAAATTTCATCTCTTATGAATCTATCTTCATCAAAATCAATGGGAAGAGGAGGGTTTAGAGAGATGGTTCAGCAGTTAAAGCACTTGCTGCTTTTCCAGAAGAGCCAGATTTGATTCCCAACACCCTCTTCTAGCCTCCATGGACAATGTCCACAAGTAAAAAGTGTTTACAGTAAAAAGTGTTTACAGTTTTCACAAGTTTTGGTGTGTGTGTGTGTGTGTGTGTGTGTGTGTGTGTGTGTGTGTGTGTGTGTGTGTGTGTTGGCACACATGTGCCCCAACAGGTGGATCAAAAAGGACTTTTAGGAACAAATATCTATGTGAGCTATATAAAAGATGGATACGGGTCCTTTTAACTTTCTCAGACCCACAGAATCTATAATACTAAAAGTAATGTAAACTGTGAGCAATGATGTCTGAACTTAGGTATACTAATGGTAACAAACATACCACTCTGGTGGGTGGATGCCGATAATGGAAGAGCTGTAGAGGATAATTTGGAAATCTCTGTCCCTACTTGTGACTACAGGCAGTCACAAAAGATTATTACTGGAATGAAAGAACATGGACATGGCTTAATATTAGTCCAAATGGTCAACGTTATTGAATTAGTATCATTTCCCTATCACCACTTTTCTTGTAGTCCAGAATGGCCTCAAACTCAGCTCATACCCATAAATGGGAGGCTCAGGTAGAGGGTTGATTTAAAATTTCAGGCCAGCTTTGGTTACACAATGAGTTCCAGGTCAGCCAGGACTATAAAGTGAGACTATGTTTAAAAACAAAACAAGTCAGGTGGTGGCGGCACACACCTTTAATCCCAGCACTCAGGAGTACAAGTAGGAGGATCTCTTGAGTTCAAGGCCAGCCTGGTCTACAGAATGAGTTCCAGGACAGCCAGGGTTGTTACACAGAAACCCTGTTTTGGGAGAGGAGAGAGAGGAGGAAGAGGAGGAGGAGGAGGAAGAAAGAAAAAAGAAAAAAGAAAGAAAGAAGGAAAGAAACAAAGGTTGCTGCTATTCCAAAGAACCTAAGTTTGGTTCCTAGCACTCAAATAGCAGCTCACAAACATGGGTAATTTCAGTTCCAGAGGAGTCAATCCCCTGTTCTGATCTCCTGGGGCATCAGACATAAATACACATACATAGTGCACATACATGTTAAGCAAAACACTGATACACATAAAATGTTGAGGGAGGGGAGGGGAGGGGAGGGGAAGGGAGGGGAAAGGATACAGCCAGGTTTGGTGATGCATGCCTTTAATCCCAGTACCTGGAAAAAGCAAGAAAATCTTTGTTTTGAGTTTAAGGACAGTGTTGTCTGCATACCAAGTTCCAGGACAATAGGGTTATACAAAGAAACCATATCTCAAAAACAACCAACAACCAACCTCTGCTTCTTTTTTCTTTGCACGAACTTTTTCCACTTCCATAAGGATCTTCTGGGACTCATCCACATTTCCTTCAGCTCCTAGTTGCTCTGCTTTAGCAAGAAGTTTTCCTATTTCTTCATTCAACTCATGTACCTTTTCAGCCTAAGGACAGAGAATCAGATAAACATCAATACTTGGAGTTACAAATAAAACAAGTATTTCTCTACTCCTTGCTGCATGCCTGGCCTATTCCTCCGAAAATAAAAAAAAATCTTAAGATCCAGACTTAGTCACTAAAAGCTCACTGAGTAGTGCTGCACGCCTTTAATCCCAGCACTTGGGAGGCAGAGACAGGTGGATCTCTGTGAGTTTGAGACCAGCCTGGTCTACAGAGAGAGAGTTCCAGGACTAGCTCCAAAGCTAGAGAAGCCCAAACAAACAACACGACACCAAAAAACCCCAAACAGTAACAAGGCAACCAGTGGCCTATAATCCAACTTTTGGATGGGGAGCTTGGGGGTGGGGATGTCAGGAGTTCAAGATCATTCTCACATACATGTGCTCCATTGCAAAACAAAAACAGCATTAAAGGAACACATGTTGTCTGGGGCCGGCGTTATTTTGGGAAATATGTCCCACCTAGACACAAGTTCTGAGAGCCCAGAACTTCCATTGTCTTTTAGATGTCTGGTTACAGTCAGATGGCCTGGCCTTGATGGGGAATGGCTCCTATTCTTAATAACAAAAGACTTGGGCCAGGGCAAGTCTACATATACCCTGAGAGCTAGTGAGACTGCTGGTGTGGGGTACCTGAGGCTTTGAGTAGGTGCCACTAAGGATTGTCTCTAGAATTAAGGGAGATATTTGCTATCAGCCCTCTATACATGATAATACATGTCTTCTGCCATTCCCCCCACCTCTGGATGGTTACTTAAGATGATGGAACAATAAACTGTGGCCTTCAGTATTTACAGGGAACCCTCCTATTATGACCAGATGTCTCTGCCTCGTCTTTTAAGGCCTGTCCACACTCCTCCACTCAGGGTCGGACCAGGAGCTGTTTGGCTGATTCCAATCACAGCCCCAAAGACATCAGTCTGGAATAGATGGTCCCTGCAGCATGGGGCTAATACAGACTGGACCACGATAACATGTCACTTACTTTAGAAGTAGAAGTGACATGTTGGTCACATTCTGTATCTCTTTATGTCTTCTGGGCAGGGGTAGTAAAATGGCAAGGTTTAGCATACAAACTTGGGCTGCAAGCAAAATATCTCATTACTAGTACTCTCCAGCATACTAGCATCTTCTTTTAATTAGTAACTGCATATAGTCTAAAAAAACGCTTCTGTGCTGGGCATAGTGGTGCATGCCTTTAATCCCAGCATTCAGGAGGCAAGCAAATCTTATGAGTTCAAGGTTGGCCCTGTCTACTTATTAAGACCTTGTCTGAAAAAGGAAAGAAGGAAGGAAGGAAGGAAGGAAGGAAGGAAGGAAGGAAGGCAGGCTCCTGTGACACACAAATGATTCATCACAGACCATTTCCACTGGGTAGAAAGCACCATCTACCCAGAATCTCCAACTAGCGTCAAGGTGAGACAAAAGTGATTATACCAGTCACTTAATATACCTTTGCAGAAACTTCTGCACTGATCTCCTCCTGTGTTTCTGCCAGCCGCTTCTTGGCAAGTTCAGTTCTCCGGTCACACTCTGCAATGAAGGACTCTAAGTGATCCATTGCCTAGTTTGAGAAAAATAGAGAACTATATGATCAACACTGCACATTTTTTTTTGGGGGGGGGTCATTTTTGTGGCTTTTATTTGGGAAGAGGAGTGCTAGAGATTAAACCCAAAACCACAAGTATGCTAGGAAGGCATTCTACTGAATTACACCTGCAGACCAATTTTCCCAGGCTGGACCAAAATTTGTTATGTATTCCAGACTGGCCTTGAAACACAATCTTCTTGCCTTAGCCTCTAAAGTACTGGATGACAAATGTGCACACTATACTCTGCCAACACTTTATAGTCTTGGCACATATGTAATATGTAATAGGAACACAAGCCTACGTTTATTTCTTTGTTTTACTGTTCTGTTTTGAGAAAGGGTCATACTATATAGCCTTATGGACCTGAAATACTTCCTATGTATATTAGGCAGACACACTCACTTAATCCCACCATTCAGGAGGAAGAGATAGGCACTTTTCTGTGAGTCCAGGCCAACGAGGGTTACATATGAAACTTGGTCTCAAAATAACAAAGCAAACATTTTTTTTAGCTGGGTGTTGGAGGAGCATGTTTTAATCCCAATACTTGGGAGGTTGAGGCGGGTGGATCTCTGTGAGTACGAGGCCAGCCTGGCCTACAAAGTGAGTTCCAGGATAGCCAGGGCTGTTACACAGACAGTTAATATAATTATAATCATCTTAAACCAAATGGCTATCTGATTTACTTATTTCCAAAATTTGTAGAAGGATCTCCAACTCTCTGTAGCATTACCAAGAAAACAGATTGAGGGAATTGCTTAGTTATGTGTTAAGTCATGGAAACATAAGTAACTGAGTTCAGTCCCTCAAAAGTCTACACATAACAGTGAGCCTTTATAATCCAAGCAATGAGGAGGACATAATGGACTCAAATGTCTAAAAATCTAAAAACGTAATGGTAACATAACAAAACAAGCAACCCAGATCATGGAGTGTCTTCTAAAAGGCATGCTCTTTTAAAAAGCAAGTCTGGGGACTGGAGAGATGGCTCAGTGGTTAAGAACACTAGCTGGTCTTCCTGAGTTCAATTCCCAGCTACCACAAGGCTCACAACCATCGGTAATGAGATCTGGTGCCCTCTTCTGGCCTGAAGGGACAGCAAGTCTGTTTGCTGTCCCTTTCTCTCCTTTAAACGTTTTTTGAGTGTATATTAAACTAGAATAAATTTAAATGATAGAAAAAGATGAGTGCAAAACTCAGATTCTTTCTTTCTTTCTTTGAGGGGTATTTTCTTTTAAAGATTTTATTTTATTTATTATGTACACAACATTCTGCTTCCATGTATTATCTGCACACCAGAAGAGGGGACCAGATCTCATAACAGATGGTTGTGAGCCACCATGTGGTTGCTGGGAATTGGACTCAGGACCTCTGGAAGAGCAGTCAGTGCTCTTAACCTCTGAGCCATCTCTCCAGCCCAAGGGGTATTTTCAAGATAGGGTTTCTCTATAAAGCCCTGGCTGTCCTGGAATTCACTACGTAAACCAGGCTGTCCTGGAACTTGGAGATCTGCCTGCCTCTCCTTCCAAATGTTGGGATTAAAGGCCTGCACCACCATCACTCAGCAAAAACTCAATGTTTTAATCACAATCTACCATTTATTAGAATTTCTACAGTGGTCCCATCGTGTGGTACAATGAAACTAATTTCTAAGAGCACCCAGACATATTCAATCCAGCATGATATCCAAATAAATACATTATTTTGAGGGAGAACAAACATAGCTACACTATATATCCTGGCTAGCTCTTAACTTTGCTATGCCAGCCTTAAAAAACAAACCTTCTACCTTCGCCTCCTGAGTGCTGGAATTATAGGTGAACATTCTCAGTTTTAGTATTCTTATAGAAAAGTATCTACTTAACTTTAGGCAAATGTCTGTAATTACAGCACTTGGGAGGGAGAGTCAAATCCATAGCTACAAAGAAAGTTTGAAACTAGCCTTAGCTACATGACAACTCCCCCACCCCACCCCAGGCCACACACACAAAAAAAGTAGCTTTAAACTTTTTATGCTGACATATTCCTTAAATCTCAGTGCTCAGGGGATAGACTTGTGCAGCTCTCCTGTGAGTTTGAGGCCAGCCTGGTCTACCTAGTGAGATTCAGGACTGCCAGTGCTACATTGCAGACCTTACATCAAATAACAACAACCAAAAACAGGAAAAAGAAAAGAATTTATAGTAACAACTTATATGCAATGCTTGAATCTGTCCATGACATCAATCTAGAATACAACATCCATGCTGGTTTTATGTTTGTTTGTTGCCAGCACAGAGTCTCACAGGACATTGCTCCTTCTGGGAACTGCTCTGAAATATAGCTAAAGAAGATCAACCAAGGTATTTTTGCAGAAGATTCTTGGGCTGTCTCCAGAGGAGACACAGGGTGTCTCTGTGCCTTTGGAGGCTGTCCTGGAACTAGCTCTTGTAGACCAGGCTGGTCTCGAACTCACAGAAATCCCCCTGCCTCTGCCTCTGCCTCCCGAGTGCGGGGATTAAAGGCGTGCACCACCAACGCCCAGCTTAATAAATAATTTTTAACTCTATATTTTCATGTCTGTATGTGGCTATGTAAATGAGTACAGTTATCCATGGAGTCCAGAAGAGGGCAATGGATCTCTTGGAGCTGGAGTTACAGGCAGTTGTGAGCCAACCAACATGAGTGATAGAAACCAAGCTGCAGTCTTCTGCAAGAGAAGTATGTGTTCTAATCTCTGAAACATCTTTCCAGCCCCATGAAACCGTTAAGAAGATTGTCCTTAAACCCACCTATAAATATTTTGTTTTTGCTAATTCTGTACTAATTGCAAATGACCCAGTAAACAGCTCACATAGTCTCATACTTCTCTCACACACACACACACACACAAGTATTTCTTTTGAGCAATTTCTTTCCTCCCTCTCACCCTCCCTTTCCCTTCTCTTGAAGGTGCTGGAGATCAAACCCAGGACCTTCCACAAGTTATGCAAATGGTCTACCACTAAGCATGCTCTACCTCTAAAACAAATTGAACAATTTTTAACAATTCTTTAGAAGTAACCCAAAGAATATTAACATTTTAAATTTATATAACATATGAGGAGTTCCCAAAGTCATATAAAATATCTATTCAAGGAACCTGCTTAGTGGTACATGCCTATAATCCTATTACTGAGGCCATTAGATTTTGAGTTTGACGCAAAACTGAACTACTTGGTAAAATTCATTAAAAAACAAGATGTTGGGGAAAACAGCTAAATTAAGCATGGGGACCCGAGTTTAATCCCCAGCACTCACTTTAAAAAGAGTGGTGGTGCATATTTTTAATTCCAGCACTTAGAAGGAAGAGAGGTGGGTCTCTTGTGACTTTTGAGGACAGTCTATTCTACATAGTGAGTTCCAGGAGAGCCAGCACTATTACTATGTTATATAAAAGAACCCTATTTCCAGGGGGGGGGGACTTGATATAATAGCATATACCTATAATCCCTAGCTCAAAATTAAATTAAAAATTTTTTATGAATGATATTCTGCCTGCATGTATGTCTACATACCCCATGTATACAGTGCTGTCAAAGGCCAAAAGGGGGCGTCAGATCCCCTGGGATTGGAGTTATACACAGCTGTGAGCCATCCCTCAGGTGCTGGGAAACAAAGCCAGGCACTCTAGAATAACCTAGTATTCTCTACTGCTGAGCCATCTCTCTAGTGCCCAAAATAAGTAAATTTCAAAACTAATAAAACTACTGAGCCTGGTGTAACACACCTTTAATCCTAGCAGAGACAGGAGGATCTGAATTTAAGGTCAGAAAGACCTACAGTGAGGTCCTGTCTCAAAAATAAATACATTAAATATTTAAAAACTGTTCAACACCAATTGGGGAAATAGCCCAGTAGGTAGAATAGTTGCCTACTAGGCATAAAGTCTTGGGTTTGATCCCAACCATGACATAAATCTGACTTGTGGGAAGCAGAGGGAGAGGAGACCTTAGCTATCCACCAAATTTGAGGCCAGCCTGAGCTACATGAAATACTATCTCAAAAGAGAAGGACTTTTATATATAAAGGAAATTAGACCATTCCTGTACATATTTCTAATAATTTGTCTTAGTTTACAGAATTATTTTATACATCACTTATTACATATATGGTGTTCTGCCTGCATGCCAGAAGAGGGCACCAGATCTCATTACAGATGGTTGTGAGTCACCATGTGGTTGTTGGGAATTGAGCTCTTAACCTCTGAGCCATTCTCTCTTGCCCTATATATCCAAGGGTTGGGGAGGAGAGTTCTAACACGGTAAGTGCCAGAAACACAACCAATTTTTCCATTTTTCTCTTTTAAGAGATATAGGCGGGTGTGTGATAGTTCACACCTTTAAATTCAACACTCAGGAAGCAAAATTCTGAACTCAAGACCAATTAGAATCTATGAGTTTCAGGCCAAACAGAGCTACACAGTAAAATCCTGGCTAAAAATAAAGAAGATACAGCTTGTTTCCCCCCCCCCCTAAATATTTGATCCATAGTTTACAATACTTCTGTGTGAGCTGGGCAATGGTGGCACACGCCTTTAATCCCAGCACTCGGGAGGCAGAGGGAGGCGGATCTCTGTGAGTTCGAGGCCAGCCTGATCTCCAGAGCAAGTGCCAGGATAGGCTCCAAAGCTACACAGAGAAACCCTGTCTCGAAAAACCAAAACCAAAAAAAAAAAAAAAAAACTACTGTGTGAACAAACTACAAACTCCACAATGGTTGAATACACTCATCATATATACTAATCACATTATGTATGCTTCAGTTTCTTGCTAAGAGCTCAACCTCTGTATCATTAATGAAGTCATTTTAAAAAGGCATTGAACTGCGAGGTGGCAGTGTATGCCTTTAGTTCCAGTACTCAGGAGATTTGTCCTTTGGGCAGGCAGATCTGAGTTCCAGGCCAGCCTGGTCTGCTGAGCAAGTTCCAGGCCCACCAGGGCTACAAATCGAAAATCCTGTCTTGAAAAACCAACCTGCTGCCACCCCCAACCCAAAAAATAAAAAACAAAAAAACAAAAGGCATCAAAGCTAACATAGTGGCTCATACATATAATCCTAGAATTCAGGAGGCTGAAGCAAGAAGATCACTAAAGATCAAGCTAGGGGGCTGGAGAGATGGCTCAGCGGTTAAGAGCACTGACTGTTCTTACAGAGGCCCCAAGTTCAATTCCCAGCAACCACATGGTGGCTCACAACCGCCTTGAATGAGATCTGGTGCCCTCTGCTGGCATGCAGGCAGAAGACTGTATACATAATAAATAAAATATTAAAAAAAAGAAATCAAGCTGGGACCCGGCGTTGGTGGAGAATGCCTTTAATCCCAGCACTCGGGAGACAGAGGCAGGAGGATCTCTGTGAGTTCAAAGCCAGCCTGGTCTACGGAGCTAGGGAGCAAGTTCCAGGACAGGCTCCAAAGCAATACAGAGGGGGAAAAAAAGAAATCAACTGCAACAGTGAGTTCCAGCTACTGAGCAGTTCCTGGAGTTCAACAGCCTCCATAGACTTCAGTTATACACATAGCAAATAAGAGGCTAGAGAGACAGTGCAAGGTTTGTTTGTTTTTGCTGCCCCACCCCCACCCCCGCAAGACAGGGTTTCTCTGTATTGCTTTGGAGCCTGTCCTGGAACTTGATCTGTAGACCAGGCTGGCCTCGACTCAAGAGATCCAGTTGCTTCTGCCTCCCGAGTGCTGGAATTAAAGGCATGCACCAACAGTTCAAAGTTAAGAACACCAGATACTCTTCCAGAGGACCCAGGTTCTATCCCTAGCACCTACATGCTAGCTCATAACCATCCCTGACTGTCCCAGGGAATCCTAAGCCCATTCTTGGCCTCTTATGGCATCAGACCCACAGACGGTACAGACATACATGCAGACAAAATGCCCATACTAAATATAAATGTGTGTATGTGTGTGCATCCGTGCCCGCACACGGACATTTTGGTTTAGCACATCCAAAAAGATATATTCCTTAAAGTGAGATTTTAATCTATCCTATCACTTTTTGAAACTTGGTATCTTTTTGTTGCTTTGTTTTTCGAGACAGGGTTTCTTTGTGTAGCCTTGGCTGTTCTGGAACTAGTTCAGTGTCTGTAGGCCAGACTGGCATAAAACTCAGAGACCTGCCTGCCTCTCTCTCTTGAGTGCTGGGATTAAAGGCATGGGCCACCACCATCTGTGGACACATGTATCTTAAGGTAACAGCCTTTTTACTAAAAATTTCCAGGGGCTGGGATATAGTATAATAGGGAGAATGTTTGCCTAACATGAGACTCTGAGTTTGATTGTTAACACTACAAAAATCTATCATGATGGCACATGGGTCTATAATCCTATCACTCAGAGGGAAGAGGCTCAGATTCTTGGCTACATAGGATATGTTAACAGCATGGGCTAAAATAAGACACATCAAGAAAAAAAGCAGCCGGGCGCTGGTGGTGCACGCCTTTAATCCCAGCACTCGGGAGGCAGAGGCAGGCTGGATCTCCGTGAGTTCGAGGCCAGCCTGGTCTCCAGAGCGAGTGCCAAGATAGGCTCCAAAGCTACAGAGAAATCCTGTTTCGAAAAATCAAAAAACAGAAAAAAAAAAAGCAAACAATGAAATAAAATTCAATATAGTAATGGTATCTGCTGTGTTCTATAACTTAAGATTTTTAGCAAGTGCTTATTTAATTATTTTGCTTTGTGACTTACAAACATTACAATAATTTCAATAGTGATTGATACTTTGCAGCACAAATAATTAAACATCCGAAAAATCTTACATCTAATTCAAAAAACAGGTCTCTTTCTTTACTTGCAATTTCATAATCTGCTCGGAGGGCCAAGTCGTGGATTTTGGTACATTCTCCTAAATCCATGCGCTGTGGGAAATAAAAAATTAAAACATTAGCACTTATTCATTCTAGAAAGCATGTAATTAATATAATTTAGCATTTCAACATTCACAAAATAAACGATATAATTTTGTAGATAATAAATTAAGAAATAGGTAAAGGGGGCTAGAGAGATGGTTCAGCAGTTAAAAGCACTGACTGCTTTTCAAGGTCCTGAGTTCAGTTCCCAGCAATCACTAAGTGGCTCACAAACACTTTTAATGAGATCTGGTGTGAAATTCTGGCCTGTAGGGACATATGCAGGCAGAATACTGTATACATAATAAGTAAATATTAAAAAAAAAAGGAAGAAATGGACCAAATATAATGGAATATGCTGATAATCTCAACAGTTTAGAGGCTAAGTGGCAACAGTATAGTAAATTCAAAGCCAATTTGAATTGGGCTACATAAGACCCTGTCTCCCAACAAAAAGAAATGAAGCCAGTTACATTGGCACATTTCTGTAATTGGAGCCCTTGGCAGGGAAAGGTAGGAGAGTCAGGACTGGAAGGTCATCTTCAGCTATATAGTAAGTTCAAGGTCAGCATGGATGACATGAGATTATATAAAAACAAAAAATAAAAAAAAAGATATAACCTAGAAATGTACTTTTATTATTCGGAGTCCAAGGTATTTATCCTGTTATGCTTTTGATTACTCACAACCATTCATAACCCTAATTCCAGGGTATCTGACACCCTCTCCTAACCTCCAAGGGCATCAGACACACGTGTTTTGCACATACACAGGCAAAACATTCATACACATAAAATAGATATAAATAAAATAAACATTCTCCTGATCTGTTAAGCAGCACAGATTTATAACTCAGGTACCCAGTTCATGAAATAAGAGGTTTTATCACTAAAAGTGGTATGTTGAAAGTAAGATTAGCCACAATGTATTATTATGTATTCTAATCATATGTATAACAATTATACTAGAGTTTGTGATGCTTATCTAAGTCCTGAGTACAGGACTGTGTAGATATCTCCTGCTCTGGTTATCTGAATAGCAACAGGAAATTTTTATTCTGAAACTCATGACATCAAGTCAGAAGGCATGCTAACAAAATTACAATGAGGTAGGAAGATCAGCAGTTCAGGCCCAGATTCAACCGCATAGTGATTTTGAGGCCAGCAAATGACCTTGACTCATACACAAAGTGGGCAGGGTTGGCCAGGGAGACGGCACAGTGGGTAGGAATACTCACTTGCTGCTCAAATATGAATGTTCAGAACCCAGCACCTATTTAATAATCTAGGCATGGGAACATATATCTGTAACCACAACACTGGGGGAAAGAGGACTTCATGCTGTTTTACTGGCTAAGCTCTAGGCTCAGTGAAACTATCAACAGGTGGTGGTGAAGCACACTTTTTTTATTATTTATTTATGTGCATTATTTATGTGCATTGGTGTTTTGTCTGCATGTATGTGGGTGTGGGATCCTCAAACTGGAGTTACAGTTGTGAGCTGTCATGTGGTTGCTAGTAATTGAACCCAGGTTCTCTGGAAGAGCAGCTAGGGTTCTTAAACACTGAGCAATCTCTCCGGCCCTCAAAGTGCATTTTTAATCCCAGTCCACAGGAGGCAGAAGCAGGCATATCTCTGTGAGTTGGAGGTTAGTTGGTCTACAGAGCAAGTCCCAGGGCATCCAGGGCTGCACAGAGAAACCCTGTCTCTAAAAAAATAAATAAATAACAAAAAGACTCTGTGTCTCAAGGAACTTGGTGACCAGTGATAAGAGGACAACACCTACTATCCTCCTCTGGCCTCTGCTTGAGTGCATAAAAACACACACATGCATAAATACAACCACACAGATTTTGTAAATCAACAATTCACCATGAAATGTTTCTTTTTCTTTTTTTGGCACACATATATTCATACAATCAGTGGTTGGTTTTACATTCCTCATAATAGCTGTAAAGTCTTAAACTGGTCCTTTGTAAAAACAAGGACACTTTCTCACTCATGTGGCTGAAATATAGGAGATGGTTTTCTCCACTGTATATAGTCTTAAATTTAACTTAATTTCAAATGAAAATACAGTCTACAAAACTAGTGTTTATCTGTACTACTCAGAGACTACAGTTATTGGACAGTATAGATTTCTTGAAAGAGTTACAAAAATATGCAATCAATGTGATCTCCGCTTGACTTTTATTTTATATTAGGGGCTGAAAAGATGACTCAGCAGGAAAAGCGACTTGACAATCTGAGTTCAGGCCCCAGGTCCAATAGGGTGGAAAGAATCACTCCTCCAAACTGTCCTGACTTCTATGTAAACACTTTGGCACCCACATAAAAAGTCAGACACGGACACACAGACACCTTAAACGGAAAACAAAACGGGGACTGAAAACATGGCTCTGACGGCTGGAGAGATGGCTCAGAGGTTAAGAGCACCGGCTGTTCTTCCAGAGGTCCTGGATTCAATTTCCAGCAACCACATCGTGGCTCACAACCATCTACAGTGGGATCTGGTGCCCTCTTCTGGCATAAAGGCATAAGTTCAGATAGAGCACTCATACATACAAAATAAATAAATCTTTAAAAAGAAAAAAGAAAACATGGCCCTGCAACTAAGAGCATTTGCTGTTCATTAGAGGATCTGGGTTCAGTTCCTGACACCGATATCAGAAGATTCATAACCACCTATAATTTCAATTCCTGAGGATCCAATGCATCTTCTGCCCTCTGTAGACATGTACTCAGGCTACATATAAATAAAAATAAGTGTGTATGTGTCTGTATGAATGAAAATATCATGCTAGAATAAAGTCTAACATACATCCATCTTGAAATTAAACAAAAACAACCTAATTAAAAAAAAACCTAACTGCTATGTAGATTTTACATTAGTGAAATGTCTCATAACTCTACCAACAATCTATAATTTGAACAATCTACAATTTGAAGATTTTAAAGGAAAATGGAATTCTGAAAAACATTCATTTCCCCCACAGCTCCCACTCCAAGTGTCCCATGAGACCCACAAAAACTTATCTAAGACTGGACAGACAAGCCAAGCAGTGGTGGTGCATGCCTTTAATCCCAACACCTGGAAGACAGAGGCAGGCAGATCTCTGTGAGGCCAGCCTGGTCTACAGATCCAGAGTTCCAAGATAGCTAGGGCTGTTACACTGACAAACCCTGTCTGGAAAAACCAAAACAAACAAACAACACAGAGAAACCCTGTCTCAAAAAAAAAAAAAAAAAAAATTCAGGGCTGGAGAGATGGCTCAGTGGTTAAGAGCAGTCAGTAGTTGTCCTTCTAGAGAACCCAGGTTCAATGGTCTTTTAGTCCCAGGGGATATGACACCCTCTTGTGGTCTCTTTGGGTATCAGGCATTTACATGGTACACGGGCATACATGTAGGCAAAATATTCATACATCTAAAAATAAAATGAAAATGTAAACAAATTACAGGAGAATTGATGCCCATCTTTTATCTTAAAAAATAGTTCTTTGAGTATTGTATATGCACATCTGTACAAATATTTTAGTCACATTCATCCCTTCACTCTTTTAGGGGGGTTCTTGTTTTGCTTGCTTTATTTATGTATTTATTTATTTATTTAGGGTTTTGGGGGGGTTGGAGACAGGGTTTCTCTGTGTAGCTTTGGAGCCTTTCCTGGCACTTGCTCTGGAGACCAGGCTAACCTCAAACTCACAGAGATCCACCTGCCTCTGCCTCCTGAGTGCTGGGATTAAAGGCATGGGCCACCAAAGCCCGGCTTTTTTTGGGTTTTCGAGACAGGGTTTCTCTGTGGCATTGGAGGCTAACCTGGAACTAGCTCTTGTAGACCTGGCTGGTCTTGAACTCACAGAGATCCACCTGCTTCTGCCTCCTGAGTGATGGGATTAAAGGCGTGTACCACCAACACCTAACTAAGGTTTATTTTTTTATTATTTTTAAATTATGCATATATATGTGCCTTGTATGAGTATGTGCACATGTATATAGAGGTCTAGAGTAGAAGTAGGTGAAGATCTCCTGGAACTGGGGTTACAGATGTTAGTAAGCCACCACGTGGGTACTGGGAATCAAACACCGGTCTTCCACAAGAGCAACAAATGCTCTTAACTACTGAGTTACCTCTCTAGCCCCTATTATGTAATTTAAAAGAAAAATATTATTCTTTGTTGAATGAAAAATATCCCACCTACTGTTCCACCCCTTCTGAGTGATCTATAAGGCTCTAGAATGCACCTACCGTCCCAGCAAGGATGTCATGGGGGCAGCAATCCAGAAGGTGACTCTTGCAGACTCGGTCATCTGTAAACTTGACCCTCTGTCTGGTTTCATCTCCTGAAATTCATTTGTGGTTTTAAATAAAGTATTACCTCATTAACTACACAAGGCTATCTGGCACAACAATACACCTGGATGATTGGCAGACTAGCATTTCTGTATTCTCCCCAACAGATACTAAGAAACTGATCCAAAAAAAAAAAAAAAAAGAAAGAAAGAAACTGATCTAAAGATATTTATTATTGAATGGAATACATTTTAAGCTAAGACGCACACTTAATCACATCTAACTCCATGGTTATGTCAAGGAGTCAGAAGAATGAGTACCAAAAGGCATCAGCCCAAATATACACGTGGGCAATGAGACACTAAGACCCATGTAATCAGAGTGCCATGAATCTACCACGTAGGAGCTGGTAATTTCCACCAACCAAAGCTATTCATTAATCTCTTTTGTTGTAGTCAAATTAATAGAAAGTGTTTTACCAAAAACTACAAGAGGAAGAAGAAAGCTTTCAAGCTCTATCATTGACTATTAAATATCTCTAGATGTTTTCTTCTTATTCCCCGTTCATCCCCACCCTTAAAAGGGAAAGTTGGCACCTGGGAGTCACTTTTAACAAGACAATACCAAAGAAAGCAAAAAGGAATCAGGTTAGTCAATACACACTGTGAACTCCAACACATACTGTACCCATCTGCATTCTTCAAGAACTCAGCTGCAGAATTTTATGCCCGCTGTTGAAAAGTTTTAAAGGAAAAGTTTTCTTGCCCACACCTGCAGTAAGGAAGTCAGGGGGAATGATACATAAAAGTAAAGGCAAAGTGGTATGTGACAAATTTTAAGGCTAATCTGTGTATAGGACACAGTGCTGTGTAATAGTCAAGGAGGAATATATTTCAGGATCTGCAAGCATCCAGGATTAATGTAGTGTCTTTTTACTGAAAATGTTTTCTTTCTAAACTACACTTTTAAAGTTACTTGTGGAAAAAAAGCAAACACTTTTTTGTTATAACAGCTTAGAAATTGGTTGTGACTCACGGCTCGATGAACATGAGGCTTTTCTGCAACTCCCTTGCAGATTGATGTAGGCAGGCAAAGATACACTGAACCTTTATAAATAAAATAGAGGGGCCACAATTGTTCAGTTTGTATGAAATAAAAATATGGGAAGCAATTCAAAAGCAACTCAACATACAAAGAAAGCTAAAAGCACTTATTGACCTATGAAATAAGGTGCAAAGAATCTGCACAGCCCTGCGAAATGTGCCAGTGTGAAATTACAACTTCATTACTTTAGTAAAAATGAAAACACAAACCACAGCAGGGATCTAGCTTTGCTAGGATGCAACTGCTTTCTCCTGAGACACCACCATGATCTTGCACGCCTCCCTACAGAACCACCTACCTAACGAAAGCCAAGAGCTGACTAAACCAAGGCTAGTCTGTGAGGCTGGGGAATGAGGGGTGGGAAGACTAGGAAAGTACACGGAGGAACCCACGTTAGAAATGCTCATTTACGGCTCCCCTTGTAACCGTACGGAGCAAGAATGCCCGGGGTTTTCGAAACCCGTCCAGCTCCTCGGGGGTCGCCTCTCCTCCGAGGAGTATCAGAGGAATTCTGCCACCCGGCAGCCAGCGCCCGGGAGCCCGCGCTGGTTCCAGCCCTTCGCCGACGCTCCAGGAATTCGCATGACGGAAAATGGGAGGGGGACAAAGCCCCACCGTCAGATCGGACTCTCAAGGAGGAGGCCGCCCTGACGAGAAGGACGCGGCGGCCGCAGCAGCCTCGCAAGCCAAGCGGATCAGACAAAGGCCCAGCGCCTGGGGTCGGCGAGCGGGGGAAAGCAATGGCGCCACGCGCAGGCGCACACTGTCACGGCCCTCGCTTCAGGCTGCCAGGCGGCCTCGCCTTACTCCCGCCCCCGCCCAGCGCCTGGACGGCTGCTCAGACTCACCGTCCCGTGCCCATAAGCTGGTCCAGCAGGGCCCGCATCTGCGCCTGGGCGGACATGGTGGCCAGTAGGGACTGCCGCTAAGCTCCTCACAACTCAACGGTAGCAGCGGCAACAGCGACAGGGAAAGATGGTGGTGTCGGCCTGGAGCCCGCTCGGCGCTTTCCCGCCGCGGGGAATGCTGGGAGGAAGTTCGTCGACGTTGGTGCAGGTCCTGCTGGGTAATGTAGTTTGGGACAATTAGAGTCGCTCGGGGAACCGGTCACAAATTGTCCTAGAAGCTAGATCAAAACTCCAACCCTGATTTCACTCTGGTCCCTTAATATCAGATTCTATTTCCTTTTCTTTTTTTTTGGTTTTTCCAGATAGGGTTTCTCTGTGTAGCTTTGAAGCCTATCCTGGCACTCGCCCTGGAGACCAGGCTGGCCTCGAACTCAGAGATCCGCCTGCCTCTGCCTCCCGAGTGCTGGGATTAAAGGCGTGCGACACCAACGCCTGGTTCTGAGATTCTATTTTCTAATAAGACTTTAGTGGAAACAAAATATACTAAACTGGGCGGGGTGATTCATGCCTATAATCTCAGGAGGTAGGGGTTGGAGCCAAGAAGTTCAAGCTAAGGGATTTATTTGGGACAGGGATGAGATCACCCCTAGGATGGTAGATGAATTTGTGACAATGCTGCTTACCCTATATAGGCTGTAAAATTTGCCAGTATGAGACTGGATCTTTTGGAGGACTAGCTCATGTTTATTAAAAAGTTCTCTGAATGCTTATGTGGTCTCTGTTGGTTGGAGTTTTCACAACACACAGACTCATAATAGTACAATATTTGTTTTATTATATACTCCAATTCCCTTGGAACTGGAGTTACAAATGTGCTGTTAACCTCTGAGCCATTTCTCCAACATAAAACTCTCCTGTTAATGATTTCCCTTGGCTCTGCTCACTTGCTTTTGAGAAGGCTGACACAAAGGCTCTATTTGGATATTGATGTTTCTCTCTTGTCTCTCAATGAACTTTATTTTTCTCCAAAGGCATGGCTGATTAATCATTGTGTGCTCTGGCCCTTCAATGAGTTTGTCCCAGTCTGATCTTACATTAGGAGGTGATAGATGATATGAACCAGTTTCCAGAAAAAGCCCACACCTATGCTTGGGATTCTATGAGGCTGATTGACGAATTATGACTGTATGAAGGGGAAAAAAGGGAGGGGCTAAGGATGTGGCTCAATTTATAGAGTGCTTGCCTAGTGTGTCCCGGGATCCTTCCCCAGCACAGCATAAAATCAGGTATAAGGGGTATTCACATGTTATTACAATAATTGGGAAGTAGGGGCAGGAGGATCAAACATTCAACTTCATCTTCAACTACAGTGACCTTAAGACCAATCTGGACTACATGAGGATTGTCTAGAAAGGAAAAGAAAAAAAAAAAAGGAAGGAAGGGAGAAAGGGAGGAAGAAAAGAGCTTCCTGAATATGGAGTGTTAAAATGTTACTGATCTAGAGCCAAATTATCATGATCAATCCTTAGTCCTTTTATATTCATTACCTACATCTGAGTTTGACCTATTGGTGGGTCTCTGTGAGTTAGAAATCAGTCTGTCTTACATAGGGAGGTCCAGGCAAGCCAGAGCCACAGGCCAACCAAGGCTACATAGTGAACCATATGTGTCTCAATGTATGGCTTTATATGTTTTTGGTTAACTATAAAAATTTCATGAGCCAGGCTTGGCATCACATGCCTTTAATCCCAGGACTCAGTGGGCAGAGTCAGGCAGATCTCTGTATGTTGCAGCATATTTATTTAACTGTGCAAAGATGTGTTGCATTTGTTTAACTATGTAAAAATGTGTTGCCTAAGAGACCTGATTGGCCTAATAAAGAACTGAACTGCCAATAGTGAGGGAAGAGGTTTAGGTGGGACTTCCAGGAAAGGAGAGTAAGTAGGAAGAAGACTTTAGGCTAGAAAAAAGAAAGAAAAAGAGGGCAGAGAGATACCAGGGGCCAGACAAATAGATAAGGAGGAAGCAAGAAAGTAGTACACACAGAATGAAAGAAAGGTAAAAGCCCTTGTCAGGTGGTGGTGGCACAAACCTTTAATCCCAGCACTCAGGAGGCAGAGGCAGGAGGATCTCTGTGAGTTCAAGGCCAGCCTGGTCTCCAAACTGAGTGCAGTGCCAGGATAGGCTCCAAAGCTACACAGAGAAACCCTGTCTCGAAAAAAAAAAAAACAGAGCTAGTTTCAGGACAGCCTACAAAGTCACAGAGAAACCCTGTCTTGAAAAACAAAACAAAACAAAACAAAAAAAGAAAGGTAAAAGCCCAAGGCAAAACTTAGATGAATAGAAATGGGTTAAATTAAGCTAAAAGAGTTAGTGGGACAAGGCTAAGCTAAGGCCAAGCATTCATAATTAATAATATGTCTCTGTGTCTTCATTTGGGTACTGGTTGGTAGCTCAAAGAAAATTCCAACTGCATCTATGAATTCAAGACCAGCCTGGTCTACAGAATGAGTTCCAGTACAGCCAGAGTTATATGAAAGAACCCTGTCCAAAATGAAAGATAAATACGAAAGGCCAAACCAGAGCCATCCTAGAGAAAAAGGGCCAAAACCAGCACTATGTGAAAACCTAACCCCATGACCTGGAAAAGTTGACAGGCAGGAAGGTGAGATAACTACAAAAGCCCCCCCCCCCAAGGGGAGGAATGGGAGACAAATGGCCCTGACCCTATGGGCGTGGAAATCAGGATGCTTGACTCCGTATGATGAAGTAGGAGAACAGAACTTACACAGGAAACAAATGGCTGTCTCGGGCTCCCACTCCAAGTATGCAGCCCCTGCCACCGGAATGCTCTCGACGGCCCGAAGGTGCCTTCGAGCCCCAACCCTATTCCTTTTAACCAGTCACATCAGCACCTATGACCATGCTTGGTCAGTGCTACAGGTGTGGGTGTGTGTGGTGGGTGGGTGCGTGTGCACAAATATATCGATACATGACCCCAGGGCAACCAACCAGAAAAGTTGAGAAACAACTTTTTTTTTTTCCTTTGAGACAGGATTTCTCTGTAGCTCTAGGAGGCTGTCCTGGAACTTGCTCTGTAGACCAGGTTGGCCTTGAATTCACAAAGATCCGAAACAACTTTTATGGGCACAAATGGTACAAGAGATAAACAAACCCCTGGAAAGTCCCCGAATCCCCCTGGACTCTGCAGCCAATCAGCTTCGAACCTGTACCCCTAACCTGTACCCTGTTCTGTGATCTTTGCCTTTATAAACCCCTTGCTTCTGAGGCTCAAGGCATTCTCCTGCAGCTGCTTCAACAGTCTGTGGAACAAGGTCCTTGCCTAGGCTTGAATTCAATAAAGAAACCTTGTGCGATTGCGGTGAGTCGGCTCAGTGGTTAAGAGCACTAACTGCTCTTTCAGAGGACCTGGGTTCAATTCCCAGCACCCACATGGCAGCTCACAACTGTCTGTAATTCCAGTTCCAGGGGACCTGACACCCACGTCAAAGTACCAATGCATATAAAATAAAAATTAATAAATTAAAAAAAGAATAAGACAACCAGTTGACCAATCAATACAAGGCAGGTCTTCCAAGACTGGAGGCACACCAATCCTGAGCCTGTGCGCACCCCTAGACACTCCCCTTACACTGCCCTATAACATCTCTGTCCTGTCGGGCTTTAATCCCAGCACTTGGGAGGCAGAGGCAGGCAGATCTCTGTGAGTTTGAGACCAGCCTGGTCTACAAGATCGAGTTCCAGGACATCCTCCAAAGCCACAGGGAAACTCTGTCTCGAAAACCCAAAAAAAAAAAAAAAAAAAAATCTGTCCCATGGTTTCTTGGGGTCTTTCCCCAGCCATCATCCATGGTGGATGGATGAAAGGCCGGAGCTAATGGGGTTAGCTTGTTAAGCAACTGCAATAAAGACTTATTGCTTTTGCTTTTGCATGGGGGGGGAGGGGAAGAAGTCCACTAACACAATTTAAAACCAAATTTGAATTTAATTAAATACTGACCAGGTGGATGGGCTCTGGCCAGGTTCATCTGTGGGTTTCCAGAAGATGGCCCTGAATCAAGTTTTGCAGCAGCTTCCGTATTTCTCTGAGGTACCTCCAGTGTATATCCAATCAAGGACAAGCATAGATCCTGGTGTATCCTGTCTGTGAACCTTCTGGCCACATGTGGTCAAGCACATCTAATGCAGAGGGGTCAAACGAAGGAAGTGAAAACATGTGGCTTGGGGCTGGAGAGATGTCTCAGAGGTTAACAGCACAGGCTGCTCTTTCAAAGGTACTAAGTTCAATTCCCAGCAACCACATGGTGACTCACAACTATAATGAAATATGGTGCCCTCTTCTGGCATCCAGGCATACATGCAGGCAGAGCACTGCACATGTAATAAATAAAAAGGAAACATTTGGCTTTTTATCACCCATAAACAATAGCCTCTAACATTTCAGGAACTATCTGTCCTTGGGCAAGGGACTTGCAGATTAGCGAGGCATTCCTTTGTTTGTTTCATTGATCTCTAAGGCATACTAATTAAAACTTAAAATGTAGTATTGGCTCATGCACAGCCCCATTAAATGTTTTCCTTTAGAAGCGCTGCTCTGTTCATTGGTCTCTTCATAGCACTAAAACCGTAAGACAAGGAGCAACCTGATCCTATGTTCTTGTGACATGGTCACTTTTATATTTGACCCAAAAATAAACAATCTCCTATCCCCTTCCAGGCAAGAGCTGTGTCTTTTTGTTGGCAAATTACCAGTCGGTTTCAAAAACAAACAAGAGGCTGAAGGCATGGCTCTGTGGTAACTGCTCCAGTGGAGGACCAGAGTTTAGTTCCCAACACCCAGGTCCAGCAGCTCGCAACTTCCTGCAA